CAGACTGAGAGTAAAATGCAGGCTAGGGGTAAAATGCAGAATTAAGATCGACTGCGGACTTTTTAAACATTTGCGCTCCTTCTTCTCCACATACGTTAATTATAGCCTCAGAGCAGGCGTTTTATTGTATTGAACATTTTTTGACTCGCCCCAACTCTTGGTCAGTCGAAAGTCCAAATCGATCGCTGAATTAGCTACAGCGGTATCAGTTACACACTTCGCTTCCTTGTCGAAGTACATTGCACATTCGCTAGAAGTTTCAATGAACGTCCGAACAGCTTACTTCCGCCTACCTTGATTTGCAATACTTTCAGAGAAGGTCATCCAAATTTCCTGCAAAACATCTTTCTTTGTTGTTGGAATGATTTACTCCCATTTTTATCACCATAATTCTTTCTGTACAGCATTTTGTGTCAGCAGCTTTTATTTAAGCGTAAACATCGTGTTGTACCAATTCACGGTCACGTGTATCGAAAACTGGAGCGTGAGGTCTCTCAGACAATGGATAATAGAAAGTAAAGTCTATCTCGGACGGAAAAAAAAAGGGTTCAAGACTGCGATTATGTTTTTGGGTCGTCGACGAAGTTCCAGAGAGGAATGACTGGATTTTTGAAAGCAGATATATGTCGTCAAGTAAGTGTTTGTTTACGTGTATTTTGCGGGATTTTATTTGCCCTTAAACCCTTCCGCGACTACAGTTTATGCTCGGACTGCATTTTATCCCAGTCTGCGTTTTACTCTCAGTCTGTAGTCTGCATTTTACAGTCGGTCTGCATTTTACCCCTGGTCCGCAGTCTGCAGTCCGCAGTCCGCAGTCCGCAGTCCGCAGTCTTCGTTTTACACTGACCGGTTTGAAAATTCTACAGAGATCTATTTTTAAACTTTCGCGTGATTTGATCTGTCAATCAAATCGTACTTTTTAATGGTTTCCTCTCTGATTTTGTTGACATCACTTCGTGTGTATATACTAAAACAATTATTCTTTTCAATCTCGGTTAGGAATATTTACCTCGCCGCTTCCCGCCTCGCTATATATATTGAGCCGCTATTCACCTTGATTTCAAAGAATAATTGTTAACTATAAAAGGCAGTCCATTAAAATAATCATGTCAATTAATGAATTTATAAAACTTCATAAGGTTTACAGTCTAAGAGGCATTCATGTGCTTACAGGCCAATAAATTTTTCAGCCTTTTGCAAACAAACCAGTATAGATCCAGAAAAATGGAACAACAACTACAAGTTTTAGGCCATGTTAATGGCGAAAAATGTTCCGATGCAGACAAAGGTCTCTGATTCGCTGTGATGTAATACTACCAACTTTATATATATTAGTGACAATTTCTCTCTTTTACCTAAGAACTGTTTTTCATGGCGTGGTCAGCGGGAAATCTAATATAATTGGCTTTTTGACCTCGACTGTTCAATGCATGTCAAACACATAACAAGTTGGGACCTGATTGTCTTACCCTTCAAGTCCCATGTGATCAACATTACCATTCTCCTAACAATTTTACTACATAATCTCGATAAAAGATTATGAGAATTGACAAAAGTATCACTTAAGGGAAATTATTTAATCTTAAAACAGATCTTCTTAATTAATTCTCTAAGGAAATGTATGGAGATCAGTGTGGGGAATTTGTATGTGGATATTGGGGGTTAAGGGGCTGAGACGTGACCACGGATATTTGTTTGTTTTTTTTGCATATTTAAGTCCTCTTTTTTTTTCCCTGAAATATTTTTACATGAAGATCGGTGGGGATGCATTTTATAACTACATTCGATGAATTGTTTTCAATGTAAACCGTTGCAAGTTTAAATATCACCTCTCGTGCAAAACGTGAAGTGAAGTTGCACACAAGGCTTTGAGGTAAGATAACTTACGTTTCGTAGCAAGTCAATAAGTGTAAATAAGACAACATTACAACCAACGCGAAGATACCACAATAAATATCTTGCAAATGCAAATAAAAGGAGTTGAAACCAAGATGGATTTTTCCAAGTTTTGAAATCTGTAGGTTTTATAAATCATCTCTTCAAAAAGGTGTTTTGAAGATCAAACAGTCACGGGATATTCTTATCTGCCAAATTTTGTTTATTGTTGTGCAGAGCAAGGTCAATTAGCAATAGTCGTTTATAAATACAGGAGAGAAGCACAGCTTCATTCATTTTGTTTTAGAAAATCAAATCAATTAAAACACAAATTTTTCATAAGCAACAGGCCGAGAGAGATTTGTTCTTCGAATGTTTATTATTATTATTATTATTATTATTATTATTATTATTATTATTATTATTGTGTGCCTAATTGACCAACGTTCAGTCTGGGGGTACATGATACGTGTTGTGACACGTAGCCCTTAAACGCAAAATGGTGGAATGACTGGGACCTTTAATCCCTTTTTGGTGAAATTTTGCGACTTCAAGAAGGCTAAATGAGTAAAAAAAAAAAAAAAGAAAGAAAAAAAAAAAGAAAAAGAAGAATTTTATTTTCACAAAGTTAATTTTATTGAATTTTAGAAATCATGTTTCACTCAGGCAAAACCTCTCAAGAAGGCGCTGGTGATCACCACAACGAGCTCACCTCAGGACGGCCCGTCCTTCATGCAGAGGGCCAGTTCGTGGAGTGCCATTTCAGCACCTCTCAATTTGTACCTTTCAGGAAAGTAGGAAAAAAGCAACTTAAAGAAATTCTTCGAGAAGCAGTTGCTAATGACAGCCCTAAACACAGCTGTAAACAGAAACGCTTTAAGGTATACCAAGACAGTCCTGGATTCTGGATTCCACGCTGTGGATACCGGACTCCAAGTACTGGATTCCAGATTCTTTGTCAGTGGAAATTGGATTCCGATCCGGATTCCAATCGTTAGTGGAATTCCCTGTTCCTTGAACTGGATCGTGGATTTCCAAAGCCCAGGACTCTGGAGTCCGCAAGCAACAATTTCCCGGGTTCCTGAGACTGAACTCCCTCAATTGGGGTGATTGTTACGTCAAAAGCTAGAAATATTTCTCAAGTAGCTTTCTGCTATGTGAAGTGTGCTACTTCCTCACAAATAAACCCTGTGGAGTTTATTTAGTTTTAGGGTTCAAAGTCATGTTGATTCAAATTGAATTTATGAGTCTTTAATTTTCATTCTAAAGGTAATGAGCAGTAATTTCCTCCACCGCTTCTTATAATCACGTAATATACCTACATGACAGTTTTCATGTTAAGGGCTGTGCCCGAAGAAATCCTCAAGTGAAACGATTCAAATGAAAGCTACTGAGCGGTTCTTTCCTGGTGAACTGGGTATTACAAAGGAAAAGGTGTTTCTAACCTTAGAGTGGATGTAGGATAAATCCTATAGAAAGACCGCTGAAAGTGAAAGCAGTACGTCCCTGTGGCGCTATTTATTGCGCGCGGGTACAAGATGCTCCTAAATTTGAGTCTAGAAGGTGAAATCCTCAAGTATAATGATATGCTTTATAAAGCTACATATACAGCTTGAATATGGTATATCCAGCCCCAGCATTCACTTGGGAAGAGCAAGGTATAGAAAAGGGAAGGGTGTGGGGGAGGGAACATCTTACCACTGATGTTGTCAAATCTGACCACGTCGCTTAATCTTTGTTGCTTTTCAGCTTCAAAAGATAGAAAACGATTCAAGACGTGATGAGTTTGAACTGACTTATCTGAGAGAAGCCTCCTCAGAAAACACTACAAACAAAAATGAATTTCAGAAACAGCAACATCGACAACAACAACAACAATTTTTCATACAACTGTTACGGTGGATTACTCTGGAAGGGGATGAATTTGTTCACATTGAGACTTTTTCAGATCTAGAAGATGTGTTTTTATTATTGGATATCATTGCAAAATTACGAAATCCTCTCTTAACTACTGTACTGATTAGTGAACCCGACCCACACCTTATAACTGTGTCAACCTCTAGTGTTCATGTCGACGTGGAGTGTCTGCTGTTTTGCATGTTTCCGACGTAGCCGCAGAATACAGCCAGCCAAGATGAACAGCTAAAGGCGGCATTTTTTCGGCGTTGTGGTGTGCTTTGAGTTTACAGAGCCGACCAGAGAACACCATCAGCTCTACGTGTCTCTTTAGTTCTCGTTGTTATTATCGGGTTTATCAGCATAACGTTGACCATATTTGGAAAGTGTGTAATTGCCGATATCAATATAATTGACGTCAGTGGTGCTGATATCGACAGAAAAGGGTACATACGGCGTTGTCAGTGGCTCACGGTTGTTTTGGCAAGGTATGGCTGGGGAAAATGGTTAAAGATATCACACGTCATGCAAAGACAAAACACGAATTCACAGAAATACCATTCAGCGCATGACAACTGCTTTACGAATTCGAAACATACCTTCATGAATTCAAATCCTGAAGCTGTTGTTTAAATGACAAACGATTTGAAGACGCGAACTTTACGTAAAGTGACGGTTTTTAGTTCCTGCTATGAACATTAGAAACGACGACAACGAAATTTCACAAGAAAGTTTCTCTCCATATCTCTAATTTTATTTTTAGAAGATTTAGAATTGCGTCATCGAACTTTTGACCAGACAGACCCATTTTTAACCGGCTGCGACGTTGTGTAACACGTAACAAGGTATCCTTTTATGTTTTTGTTCATATATAAAATGGTTTTAAACAAGTTCTGATCCATAAACCCATTTATTTATTGACGAAGCATTCTTAAACTTTTTTTTTTTTTAAAATTAAAGAATTTAAATTGAAATAAAACATTATACTTTGGCTGGCCCGGGTTATTTTGATTCATTCTGATAAATCAGTATTTTACATATCGTAAGGATGGATTAATGAATAGAACGATCACGATTTCGTTTTTTGACGTACAAGTTCGGTAAACAATAACAATTTTGACACAAGTTTCTTTATCGATTTTTATTTCTCAAGGAATCAAGAAAGGTTTCTTTTACAGAACTTCACAGTTAAATATTTCAAATATCCTTGTGTTTTGCTTCTTTCTTCATTATTCCATGTTCCTTGTGAGAGCTTTTAGGCCGGCAAACGTTTCTTGCCCCACGGGGATTATTTTGTCTGGTGGGAGAACAAATCCCCCACCGGAGTAGCTCTTTGGCCGGAGCTCCACACAGTACGAATGTACAACTCCTAAGACCCCGAATGTCCAGTCTGTCGTGTCTCCAGTGGTGGGATCTTGAGACAGGGAATAATATGACCATTAGGGACCGGTGATTATTCATCACCTGGGGGAGAATTTTGGGGGGGGGGGATCACTTGATTTTAGGAGAACAGAAGGGAGGATCAGTCGTAACTGAGAACCCAGCAGAAGAGGGGGATCACTGAAAACTTTGGAAGGATTCAGAGGGGGGGACCACTCAAATTTGCTTGGAAAATGAAGAGAGTCGTTAAATGTTATTAGGAGGGAGGATCACTTCCGTGAAGTCACATTCAAAGGGGGGATCGGCTAAATTTCACCTTGTTTATTCCCAAATCCTCTTCCCCCGCCCCCGGCGATAAATAATGACCGGTCCCTAAGACATCTTTACTGAACGTTGTTCTTTTAAAATTTTCAAAAAACAGTCAAGGTGTCATTCACTCCCCCAAGCAATTTGTCGGAGTGATAGGCGGTAGATTAAAGGATCTAAGGTAATCCGGATTTTCCAGAATCCACGAAATTTTTCAGTGCAGGTGGAATCCGGAATCCTGGGCATTGGAGTCTGCAATTCAGCTCAAGGAATACGGAATCCCGCAGACAATTGAAACCCGGAATCCAATTTCCATTGTCCAGGACTCCAGGATCTAGTACCTGGAATCTAGAATCCATACTGTCTTGGATTCCTTTACTATACATGGGCGAAACGAGCAAGGTCAGCTTCTTTGTTTTCATTCGGCCAACGCAAAAAACCGTCCGTTAAATCGCCGCTAGTTACGTGGTCCGTTACCATCTTTCCCCACCTTAACAAAGTGTATTTAAGTTCACGTAAAGTGGAACATCTATTAACGGCCACCTCTCCGCAACGGCGGCCACGTCTCTACAAAGGCCATTTTTTTTTTTTATGGCGGACAGTCCATACATTGCCTATTGTTGAAACCTCTCTGCAACGACCACTTTCTCTGTCCCTAAGGCGACCGTTGTGGTGAGGTTTAACTGTGGTAACCAAATTAGGATGACCGTATTACTATAATTATTTTTTTGGTAATGATCTTCAGTTATGAAAATTCTCCATCCTAATCAGCATTCCATTCGTTTCATACATTCATTCAACCTCGTATTTCCACTGAGACTAAAATCGCCCTTCCCTGACTTTTCAGTTTGTTGAGTTTTACAGTGTATAACGGTACTTAAACGTGATTTAATACGTGAAGTCCATTGAACGATACGTCTGCGGAATATAAATGAGTTTTGAAAACTATTTTCGGGGATTCATAATTTTATAAATTCTGTCAGCACACGTTATACTCCCTCGGGGAATATAACGATTTCGTCCCTCAACTATGAATGATACTTACAGATTGTAATGGCAGCCGGTCCATATTTATAGGATGTGCCATGCACAGCAGTCAAAGCTTTAACTGCAGCTTGCATAGCCTTTTTCTAATCAACAAGATAAAAAAAAGGGTATAGTCAAATGAAATATGGCAAGATAATAATGTAATGACTTTCCATGTTTTCATTTCCATTCAAATAAAACAACAAAATGAAAGTTATGTTTTACGAGTATCTTTGAAGACACGGCTAAACTTTACGTCCAATTTTTAGACCAAAATAGGCTTCAAATCTAACTGTTAGTGCAAGAATGAGTTGATTTGTATCAGAGATTTTGAAGCCGTTCAAAAAATTCCGTGGTTTATTGTCAGTTCAGTTTAAAAACTCGTGGCGAAACGGAGAGTTTTTAAACCTGATAACACACTCCTGCTCGGTTTTTCAACATTACAACAAATCTACAGCAATTTCCCATTGTCAAAACTAATTATAAACCACATAAATGACTTCTAAATGTTAAAACTCAAAGGACAGTGGTCTCACGTGCATTCTTTTTTTCCTTGACATTCTCATGACAATTTAATCTATTGTCTGTAAGGGTATATAGAATGGAGCAGTTTTGTCTATTTCCGTCACTGAACCAGTCTAGGGGTTCGATTGTTTTCTAGGTTCAAAGACTTTTCGTTTGCCCTTCCTGTGGTTCTGTGATATGCACTAAGGGATAAGAGGAGTCGAGTCAAGTCAATTGTCAGTAGATCACTTTTATAATTTAAGGTGACTTAAGTTTTCATTTTTGTAATATATTTTGGTCATGAGAACTGCTAACGTACCATTTTGTCATATTTCGGAGGATATGCATTCGTGTAGCCCCAAGGACTCATCCACAACTGACTGTATGCATGAAAATCAATGTATCCCTTCAGTTCGTGCCTGCGACGGTATAGGTACTTAGCCACGTTATGGGTAACTGTCTCGGAAAATGGACGGGGTCCAGTGTATATATCACTGCCAGGGCTCTGCGAAGTTCCCACTCCTACGCGAGAATATGTATCAATTATCCATTAGCTTAAGTTCTAGCAACCCTTTTTAATCCAGAAATCCCGAAAGTTCATTTACCATTCATTCATTCCACCAGCCCTCCCGCGAGGTCACTTACGGCAAGAGAAGAAGGAGAGGAAAGAACAGACCTCTGCCTGCCCCCGATACGTTTTCTATCAGGCGCGCAGGAACTGGCGTTTCCCTAACAACCAAAAACCTTTTAGTCAAGTGCGACATAACTTACAAGACCGGCTTGCACGATAACAACTGTGGTCTCAGAAATGTCCAGCGTGCAGTCGCTCAACAGGGCACGCGCATTTCATCTTAAACTAAACAGGTTTTGAAAACCAGTAAGTTTCTGCCACAAATCTGGCCCGCGGCTGCAGGAAATCCATTCACTTGCTCGCTCGCTTACTCACTCCCTCACCTTTTTCCACCCACACATCAATCCACCCACTCGCTCGCATACGGCTCATCCACTCACTCGCTCGCAGACTCATTCACTCACTTACTCACTCACTAAATATTCTCTGTTTTTTTTTTTTTTTTTTTTCAACCAACCGTCTTAAAGGTAGTTTTTAAAAAAAAAAAAAAAATCATTTGGCCTTGATTGTTTGCTCGATGGAATACAGTCTTAGGGGTGGCGAATGGTAAAATCCGAGACTCGCCGAGACGCCGAGATCCTTGTTAGAAATCCGAGCCCGAGACTCTTTGGTAAAAAGTTTCGAGACTCAAAAAAGTAAAAACAAACCATGAAAAAACGAAACTTTGAGACTTATCATTAACGCTTCCGAGACTTCGAGATCCTGACAAAATTTTCCGAGACCCACGTTTTACGAGGTACCATTCGCCACCCCTAGTCTTATCTCACAAGGCAATATCGGTGATCAAACTGATCTTCCCAAGTGCTCACCTGCAAAGTGGTAGTTAAAATTTCTGTTAGGATCGGCGCCATACGATCCACTGTATGGTCTTCTTGTCTTTCTCCACATACGATTCTGAAATGAGTCAAAGTAAATTATTTAAAACTGGAGACATGCATGCCTATTTAGAAACTGTAGGCGGGGCTGACTTAAGTGTCTCGAGGGTATCTCTCTTAGACCTAAGCCACGTGTTTGTTCATGGTAGTTCCTTCACTTCACGCTCACTGAGAGGCTCAGTGCGACGTTTTTTACGCCAATTCTATGGTCTACAAGCGTATACACGATGGAACATTGTCATCCAATTATCTTTATACAATGTGATGAATAATACACGTGCTATGATTGGAGAGTAGACACATGGATGACGTCACGGGAAACTTGTTTTTTGTTGTTGTTGTTGTTTAGTTCAAAATGGTGCACGGTTTTGAAAATGTTAGCGAGATTATTTGGGACGAAGCAGGTGAAAAGCCTCGAAAATAGTTAGGACAAGCTGTTAACAAAGAAAAAAATGGAAAAGCCGAGACATAAAGAGTTCCTGACGACTTTAACTGGGTTTGGGAGGAGACGAGAAAAATAAACATTATTTTCTCGCCTCCCTTCCCCTACAGCTATAAGCCCCGACGCCTGCCCCCTCGGTATATATGGAACCAAGATGGCCGCCTGTACCGGTACGCGATCTTGACGATCTCACGAAAATATAGGGCACTGTGAACAGTCTAATGGCCCATAAGGTTAAGCGCTTAAAGGTCAGGCCAAATTTACATTATAAAGAGGACACCGTGGTTTCTTAGATAGATACAATTTTCTCATTAAGAGGTTTGGACTATATTCGTAGGAAGCTTACATTTGTATGAGTGTACTCGTATCCATCAACGTTGAAAACAGGCAGAATGACCCATTCGTATTTGTCCAACATGAACCTCACATCACTGTTGGTGCGTCTCGTTGCCAGTATCTGCCTTATCATGTACATGCAGGTAGCAGGGCTTATCCACTCTCTAGCATGAATTCCGCAATTAAAAAAGAATAGGGGCTTGGTAACGCTTCCAGACTTGATCTAGAAAAGAAAAGAGGCCTGGTAATAAGTGTCACTAAGCATGCGCGTATTCTCAATTCTCCGAAGTTAGTAAGTAGTCTATGTAGTGTCCACTTGAATTGCAAGCTCGTAGGATGTTCACTTATATCTCGTTGACGTAGAAAGAATTACAGGCAAGGGTTAATACTTGCATTAAAAATTATTGTTTATTTCTCTTTAATTTCACATTCTGTATCATTGTTGAATCATGCTCAACCAGCTATCTATACACAAGCGTGAGAACAAGAAGGGGTTCTAGTCAAAATCACTTTTGTCGTCGCTGAAAATACCCTCTACTTTTACTAAGGCTAATGCGATTAAATTACGGATGGTGTTGTGATAAGGTTAGGAAGGAGGAGGAATGGGAGGGGGGGGGGGGAAGAGGAAGGGCGGAATAAGCTATCCCAAGTAGGTACTATGACACAAAAAAGCGGGGTTTGAATGCAGTTATTTCAACTGCACTTTGCTCCCGCCCCGCCTCCAGGAAGACAACCCTGGTAACAACGTACAACCTTTCATTCTTCGCTTTTTAAATTCATATTTCACAAACCTTGATTGCCAGTTGTTCACGACCTTCGTACGACCTTCCCAAAGTAAAGATTGACGCAACATCGGAATGCTGTGAGGCCAGGCTCCGTATTTCCGAGTGAATCTATATTAGCAAAAAAGGACTATGTGTGAAATACACATACACCAACTTTTCTCGAAGTGCACTCTGCAAAATTACTTGTTTCTGATTAAACGAGAGATATATTTTTAATCCCGATTTGCATTCTCTCCAAGCGTTTTAGCCATGTTTTTTTGCCTGTTCAGTTACAGCACTGAAGGTGAATAGGCGACAATAACTTCAATCACTTTGTTCTTCGTTAAAACTTTTTAATAAGTTCATCTGTAATACAAACGCCAAAGAAATGGGACCTCACGTTAAACTGAACGTTTTATACCTCTCCAAGGCGATGATATTTGGAATCGAAGCCTCCAGCCCTTGATGACGCTTTTTCCGCATCAAGAAGTACTCTCATGTCACCTGCTTTCATCTTGTAATGTATACCAGCACCACTTAAACGATTTTCAAGTTTCTGCACGGACGCCGGTTCCACGTGGATTTCCACCTGGTCGAGTGAAGGGACTGGGTAGGTCCAAAAATCAATCTAAGAAAGAAAGATTTGAAACAATTAAACGCAACGAACTTGTTCATAGGAGTTATCCTCATCTGAATTTTAGAAAATCAGCTTTTTTGTATTAAGAAAAGGAAAAAGTTGTATTAAAAAATAACTCATGTCTCATTTTGTTGAGGGTCGACGTGAAAACAGGATAATAGATATGCGTTTCTCTTTTTGAACTTGGACAAGGTTTTAAGGTCAGTCTTTATCGAAAGCTTACCCTTACCGTTTGTGGCCACCTTGGTTTCAAATGTACAGTATGTAACCAAGATGGCCACGTAGTACAGTTAGCGCTTGATCTCGACGATCTTACAGAAAAAAAAAAACAACAACGATCTATAGTCTTCCGAAGAGTTGGACTATATTTGACAAGTTGCACGAGTTCCGATAATCGTGATAAATGATGTTTCAAAGAACGCGATTGACTTTTGATAATTACGGCACTTTCAAAGACGTCGCCGTGGTCGTTGGCAAGAGGCTACGATGGGGCGTCCAGATCTCAAAACCGCGACCAATAGCAGAGAGGCAGATTAAGTACCGGAAGTCGCGTCCGTTCCGCCTTTCCGCGCGCTTCCGCGTTCTCATGTGTCTTGCGTTGTTGCTAAATCTGCCTAAAATAAGGAGCTTGTATTCTCTAGCATTGCCGTTTAAGTAGAAGTGACTAGTCAAGAGTTTTGCTAACACTTAAATGAGTTTATCGATCATTTGAGTTTCTGAATCGCGAGTTATTTTGCCCATATATTAACAGATTTTTAGTCTGCTTGCTTAAAACTAGTTGACTCATTCGGGTTTTATATTGTATATACTCGAACAATTATTCACCGTTCAATAATATTCGTTTGTATTCACCTCTACTCTTAGCAATTGATTGGTGTACACAGCGGAAAATATATATGCACAACATTATTTAATATACACTTACGCCATCAACTCCTTCCTTGAGGAGATTATCCAAAAAATTCACATCTGCTTGGCTCTTAGGATATGCAGTGTACAGTTTATGCCTGTTAAATGAAAGCAGAAATATCAGAAAAAAAGGCCCTGTTCATTCGGACCCGTTTGTAAACGCATATAAACTTGTTAGTCTACCGCTGTCCAAACTTCACTCAAGTGTTAAGGGGAGGGGGGGAGGGAGAGATTGTAAAGGGGGCCCGAGAAGGGGAAAAAGCTCGGGAAAACGTAAGAATATCACAAAAAATCGAACAGAATAAAATGAAACAACGAACAAAACCAAAAAAAATTAGGCCTTCTAAAAATAGGTATGCATGCTAAAACGCGGACTATGAATGTGAACGCCTGATTAATTAGCTGGCTAAAAAAGCACATATTTCTTCTTCTCTTTTGAAATATTTTCTTTTTCCACTGATCGCATCCAAAAAGTTTTAGTTTTTAATTGTTCAATCCCAGTCACTTTGCATACTAATAAGAATGCGATATAACTGTTTACCCTCACGAATGTTGACTTAGCTTTACAGATGCATGGTAACAGCGAAAGAGTATTTTGTCTTCTAATCTTATTTAACTGCAACATATTTTCCTCTCTGTGCCTGACAAGAAATTCTGCAGCAGATTTAAGACGTTAACTCTTTAAACAAGAGTATTCTTGATTTGTGATCACTTTTGGCTCTTGCTTAGAATGGTATGCAGACCAAAACCAGCAGTACACTACACAGCAGATCGAAATCGAAAACAACCTCTGTCAATTTTTTTTGCTCTGCTATTTTTCTTTTCCTTCTTTTTTTTCAATAATTTAATTTAAATTTAATAATTTTGCAATGATTTGCATCTATATTTCTAACTGTAAAAATTTCTTAGCCAACTAATTTGTCGATAGAATGTCTTAGGTCTCACCAGGAATTACGAACGATCTGTCTGCATGTTCTCTGACCGGAAAAGCACTAAAATGATTGATTTCAAATGTACGTGATGACTCCAGAGTGGAATCAATTTTTTCACGCTAAGAAAATGCATCAGTAAGTTTTTAAATAAACGTCAAGACCTTCTTTAGCTGGCGAAGATTTAACTGTCAATATTTTCCGTCTTACCACTAAGATTTAAGGTATAATTTATGTCCATTTTCCAAAGCAGCTGAAATTATCAGAACATAATCGCAAATAGATAAGAAAACTTGGTGTAGCAAGCATTAGATTTTCCTTTCCACGTGCCAGGCTCTAAGCTAAAATGTCGGGCACACCATTTTATCATCTTAAAGATGCAAAAAATGACCAAGAATTTAGGTTTATCATCATTTACTTAAATTACATCTCTGAGTAAAAAAAACAACAACATCAACAATAACAATCGAGGCAATGAACGAATAAAGACGACATTTTTTGCGCTCTAAATTGTAATAAAGCGGCTAGTGAACTCGAAAGAACTTCAAGGGGGGTAAAAATAGGTTCGGAATTGATAGAAATCCCGCAATCTGCTAGTATCGTGATTATAAAATAGTTTAAAATGTTACTTACCCTCGAAAAGTCTCTTGTTCAGCAAAAACGGCAGCTGTGAGGAGTACCAGAACAAATTCTCGAACGACCCTCATGTTTGCCGGTCGGAAGTGTTCCGTAAAAAGCCTCTGATCTGAAGTTTTTCTTTGCAAATCTCCTATCTAAACAAATATAATCGCTACCTTCGAGGGAGGGGTGGATGGGGAGCAATTTCGTGCTTTTGGGCTGGACCCTCTTGGCCTTACAGTTTTGAATCTTCAAAATACTTAGAGATATAGAGAATCTCTATATTCCACGGTTAAGTAGGCTTCTTCCTCTCTTGTATAGGAATAAAAATTAAAAAATAAGTGGTCGCTGATTTTCGATGTTAAAGGGGATTATTTAAACACCTTTATTTTCCATCCAGACTATCCCATCAACTGAATATACCAGGCGATAATTTCTTTGATGTGTTAAGTGCTGTTAAAATAGGTCATTCAACAAAAAAGCCTAAAAGCTCTTTTCCAACAATGGACCACCGAAGACTGTTTAAATAATGATAGAGCATTCCATGGGAGATGGTATAAAAAAGACAATCAAGAAATCATTTTGTTCAAAGAGCATTCTAAAAATTCATGCAAGGACAATGCTAAACGCAAATAGTGCGACGTAAATCTCACATGGTATTAGTTCTAGTTTCCTCGCAATTATCTTGGGCACTGTGAAAACAGGAAGACGAAAAACGCAGTCATCGTTTCTTGTTTCGACTTGTAAATTTTGCAAGACTAGGATAGCCTGTTCACAGACCCTCTATGTTCTTTTCAAAGTCCGTCGAGCGCGCAGAACGAAAAGAAAGATTAAACAACGTCTTTGTACAGGCTAGACTAGTAAAGACTGGTGAAAGAGTTTTGCCTCTATTTACGAGGCAAGCTTTTCTTGGTTTACGACGATAAAGGAGCCGTTATGGTATATTCTTTCCATAATGTAGCTCTGGCCCCGAGGAAGGCTAATTTTGTTAGCCGAAAAATTGGCCTCAAATAGATCAGCCCTTTACCGTATTGCCAGCCTTGAATTCAGTTTTGTCTAAATGTTTTGTCTAGGCCAAGTCTAAAACAATGATTCCAGACCTTCTTGATAAGGGAAAGGGGGGTGGGGGCGAACCACATTCGTCTAGGTCAACGTCACGGCGGCCAATTGGTGTCCCAAAACAATGGCGAATCCCAAACCTTCCTGTGGGAGTTGAACTTTTTCTTATGCAAACGCGTTCATTCATAGATGCTGGCCAAAAAACGGTATACATGTATATGCATTAGACTTCGATGTCAGGTCTATCTAGTCAGGGACATCCTATCCGGGAACACCCCACCCGGCCGCGGGGAGAAAGTTATACAGTTTGAGCCCCTCCTGGTCTGGTTGACTTTCGTGTAAGGTTTCTTGATTCTTGAACTAAGGCTGCAACGTCTGAACTGGAACAGTACTATACTCCCAAATTAGACATACTTTTATTTTTTTCTAAAAACAATTCCTTTTGAAAATAACATGATTTAAAGAAAGCACTTTACCAAGTTCGGAAATTTCTTGAGAAACCACTAGATTCACCAAATTAAGGTTTCGATAAAATTTTAAACAATGGGGTATTTATAATAATAGCTAAACACAAAGGCAGCGGTCCCAAACAATGTGAATGTAATAAAATCTTTAGAGCTATTTGCAGAGGAGGCGAGAGGGAGACTAGACTTTTGATAATGGCTCGGGCAATAACCAACTCAAATGCACTATCTTAGGAAAAGGGGGGGGAGAAGAAAGAGAGGGGGGGGGGGGTGTGCTCAGGGATTTCAAACCTTTCGCCTCCCTTAACTTACATTCCCAGCTCCCGCTCCTTGCCTTGACTTCCTTCCCTTTAAGCCTTTTTCGATTGCTAAATATTGAGCTTTATTGTGTAATTTACCCATATTAGAACTTCCGACTCCCGCCCTTTCCTATCCCACCTCCCGTAGCCCTCCCACCCGCTATTTCCCCGGGCTTCTTCCCCTTGTTCTCTGGCACTATTTACCCCAGTGAGCTCGAAAGCTGTCGAATAATTGAAACCCATATTTTCACTCGCTCATCACATGAGAGAGAGAAGAGGGAGCCAAATAGACATCACACTACTAAGGTTTGTCTCAACTCGTGAACGACTCCTTCCGGAAGCCCGATTTTGCCTCACTCCTCTAGTTTAATTACCTGCGCATATAGCTAAATGGCTCTTCTAAACTTAAACATAAATAATTACTGCAGTGATTTCATACCCAGATTTCCCACGGCAGCGTTATGCAGAGTGAAGCCTGGATACAAGAAAAATTGCGGCGTTACACTGTGTTAAAAATATTACATTAAAAATGTTTTTGAAGATACGGTTGAGAGTTAGACTGATTTCTCAACTTATAAAGGAACAGAGAATCTTTAACCCGGATAATGTTTCCTTGCCAACGGGTTCAATGTACGAAGGGGGAAGAATGAATCCGTTCTCAGCGAAGAAAGACGGTTGAAGCTCAACTCCGTAAGAATGTGTTACTCCTAACACTCCGTGAACCCAGTCTGTAGCGTCTCCAGAAGTCTTATCTGTAATCAAACATAAACATGATTAAGGTGAGCGCACTATGGTGAACCCACTACCCTCCCCCTACCCCTCCCTTGCCCCTCCATCTACCACCCATACCACCAGTGTGGACCCAGTTATGTCTTAGTGTAGACTAGAGTTTGTCGTCAGTTGACTTTTCTGCTTCGAGAGAGAGAGGTTTTGTTTTAGTGCAGACTTGACTTTGTCGTAAGTTCTCTCCTCTGCTTCGAAAGAGAGTTTTTGTTACGGGTAATCCAGTTTTCTTCACCCCTCACAAAGCGGTAAGGGTTGCTAAAGTTTCGTTGCACATGTAACAAATCTGTGGGACGTTAAAGAACCCACACACTCTTCGTAAAGAGTACGGCACGTAGTGCCCGGTGTACTGGTCTATCCAACTTTCACACTCATGCATATATGGGGGCATCATTACGCATTCCTTCATTACGTGTAAACTGCACCTTAAGCAGTCTAGCAAAGTCCCCCAACCAGTGTAAATTATCCCTGAAAAGCTCTGAGGGGAGTGGATAATAAGACATTTCCAATTTACAATTTACTGAATACAAGAATGTAACCACTTACATATAGCGGTGGACGCGGGTCCATATTGAAAAATGGTGCCATGGGTGTGGTAGATCTTCTGAACAATTTTTCTCATAGCGGGTAACTGTTAAAATTCAAGAAATAGAATATCCTTAATACTGAAATGAGCTGAACGATGATCAAAAGCATTTTTATTTTCATCTTTGTTGAAGAACACTCACGTCTTGTACCCTAAGGGACTTTCTAAACTGTCTGTACAAGGGGAGATTCATAGCCCCGACCTTCACAATAGACACAAATTCTCCGGCTAATATGTTCAGAAAATGTCGGTGGATACTCTGTCGTACACAGCTGTTCAAATGAGTGAAAGTAGGAAGAATACTTGAGCCAGGGGTATTCTTCCTTATATGTACATCCCCCTCCGCCTGTCCCTAACGGGGTAGAGGCTGACGGGAGAAAACTCCCCCACCTCCAGAGCTCATCAGTACGGTGGCTTGTAGGGATCAAAACACGTCCCAGAACTCAAAAACACTTTCCAGAATCCAAACCACTTTTGGATTCTGGGAAGTGTTTTTGAATTCTGGGGCGTGTTTTGGATTCTAAGACGTGTTTTTGGATTCTGGGAAGTATTTTTCCTTCTGGGAAGTGTTTTTGGATTCTGGGAAGTGTTTTTTCCCTATGAGGCACGGTACATCAGAGAGCTTCCTAGCTTGCTGTCCCACCTATTCAAACTTACATGCTCTTTATGAAATGTTGGTGGAAGAACTGTCGTGAAACCCCATGGAGACATCCAAAGCTGTCCGTAGCAGTGAAAGTCCACATAACCTTTGATCCGTCTTCTTATTGAGTACATGTATTTGCCCAGATTTCTAATTTCCGGTTCGGAGAAAGGCCACAATCCAGGATAAATGTCACTACAAGGTTTGCCATAATCTGCTCCGACAGCTGATGAGTACAAGAATTATCTTGTTACTGCGGATTTCATGTAAGTCTGGGAGATTAACGCGGCTTTGCTTCGACACGCTCTGTGATTGGCTAAAGAGAGAAATCCTGGGAAAGTGGCGCAAGAGCTTATGGGATGGTAACGGAGAGCACGATAATGAAGAGCGTTGCATTGTACAGTAGAAAACGTTTTTAACGCAACTTGCGTGTTATGGCATCCTTAAAGACGCTCGCTTTCCTGCAAGCAGATTTTTAAGTAGCGGCGGGGAGGAGGTGAGCGAGCGCTCAGTATTGCCTTTGTGTCATCGCCATCTTTCCTTTCGAACAATAACAGCTACAAATTACTTACTTGCCCACTTGATGTTGAAATTTCTATTCAGATCCGTGCCAACGCATTGAGTTGAGTTAGACGGTCTTCTATTCTTCCTCCACATCCGGTTCTTTAACAAATCAAACCTCAATTCATGAATAATGCATCATTAAACTGAAGTAATCAAAGTATTCTAAAATGTCAAGCTTTGCCATAGCAATTTACTAAAGGCGCGTTCGATAGCCTGTATTCCGAAATAAGAATACATTGAATATACTGTAGACATCACTTGGTGGAGAATGGCTTTCATTAGCTAGCAAAATCCAGAATTCTGGTGGAATTTGAAAATTAAGATGAGCGTAGCATTCCAATGGTCCAAATCCCCTAGGATCTGTTTTCTTATCGTTTTTATACCAATCTACAACGTCTTACCGTAGAATGAGTGTAAACATATCCATCCACGTTTACAACAGGAATTATTATCCACTCTAGCTTGTCCACTAAATCTCTTATTGATTCGTCAGTTCTGTACTTGAGTACGAGCTGGCCAAAAAAAAGAAAAGAAAAGAAAAGGAAGAATGGAAAGGAAAAGAAAAAGGAAAGGATAGGGAACTGAGTTCGCATTAACAAGATTAAGATTTACTATAGCGCTAACATTGAATTTTGCATGTATTATTCTATTAATAATTATTTTATTGTAGTAATTTAACTGAGGGAGTCCATTCCTTATAAGCCCAGTGGCTTCAATTCCTTGGGCTTCCTGGCCATTAGGTTTTTAAATATTTAGATTAATTTTTCATGATTTTTTTTGTACATTCTTATGGAAAACAGTAATCTGAAACTGAAACTGAAACAAAACTAGAAATGTAGTAAAAAAGAAAAACTGGTACATTTTGGGTACGGAAAACGATATGTCGGACAACGCCCTTTGGATGGTTGAGAAGTAGATCAGTAAGATATCGGTATGGGTAAATCTAATTAAGGCACGCTCAACTTCGAGCAATTCTGCTAGTGGTTTTTTCACACGTGACCTGTCAGGCACCCCTTGAGTTTGGATGAACATATGGGGGGCCGAAAAAAAAATTTGGGGGAGGACCGCCCCCCCCTTATCTAAAGGTCGAGATGACCGCTGTCCCACCCCCTCCCCCCACCGCCTTATCTCTAAGTCTGGATCCAGCACTGTGGAATGCAAGCGCACGAGAGCGTCGAGCCGTCTCGCGTCTTTCACATTTTCGTGTCTCACGCCTTTCGCTCGATGGACTAAGAAAAAGAAAAGAGTCTGCTCCTACTCTAATCATGGCGTTATTAAGGATATTTTCCCCCAAGTTCGTCATGGTCTGTTAAACTTTCCAATTAAGAGTTGCGTGGTATTTTTTCTTGAATAAATAGTCTAAAAAAATAAACGTGTGTGCTAAATTATTGTACCTCTCTGGCGACATACACACATGTTGAAATCGCAATCCATTCTCGCGCGTGGAGACCACAGTTGATAAACATTACTGACTTGTTTGTGAGAGATCTGTTTGAAGAGATCTGAGACAAAAAGAATCAATGTTTACAAAGATTTCTGACCACCAATGATGAATCTAGGACAAGGGCCGACGGGTTAGGGAGGGGCAGCCACACTCCTTATTAGGCAAAATTAGCAAAAAACTACAGGACCCGGTTGCTCAAACGATGGAAAGCGCTTTCCATCGGATAAATCACTATCCAGTGGATAAGTATTAGGGAAACTAATTGCACTTTCCACTAGTGTTTTGCTATTGTAGTTGATATGTACTAGTTTAATCTGGATGTCGTCAAATTATAAACTGAAAGTTTCACCGATCTAAATGGGGGGTTGTCTGGACGACACTAACCGCTTAAATTTGATGAACTTTTAGTTTAGCACCTGATAGGGAAAAAAGACTAATCGAGATCTTTCTCCTTTAGACAGATCAGAACTTTGTTAATAGACTTGACCTTTCTAGAAGTTAAAAAATAAAAATGGCCCCGGGATGAAGATCCTACCTTAGAGCCATCTTGAAAACACAGACTTATTTTGACTTATTGCTCATCATTGGGGAGTACCCACGCTGACAAGTTTTCACACAGATCTTTGAATTGTGAACTCGTCACGCATCCGGTGAATGGCGCTATCCATCTTTTGAGTAACCAGGGCCTGATAAACTCTATCCAGTGGAAAGTTAGTCTCCCTCGCAGCCGTTTTTAGTATCGTCACGCAACGCTCCTGGGGAGGAGCGTTGCGTGACGATACTAAAAACGGCTGCGACGGAGACTAACTTTCCACTGGATAGAGTATATAAGGCCGTGGTTGCTCAAAAGATGGATAGCGCCATTCACCGGATAAATCACTATCCAGTGGATAAGTATTTGGAGAACTAAATGCGCTATTCAGTGGATAGAGATTTATCCGTTGGATAGCGTTATCCACCTTTTGAACAACTGGGGCCTGGTGTATAACGTTATCTGTCTATTGAACAACTGGTGCCAGGACGACAAAGATGATGGCACGCACAGATCGCTGGAAAAAGAATTCACCAAAGGCAGCGTGGCAAACCGAACAACAAAATTTACTTTCAGTCTTTTCCGCGTGCTTTTGCATTTTCATTTGATGTTACGTTTGTGTCAAGACTTGGAACTTTCCTTTTACCTATAGAGCAAATAAAGTTATATCGTAAAAAAGGTCTTGTCTTCACATGATAGACTTTGCAAGTGTTTGATTTTGATTTAAAAAGCTCAAAAAGGTTGCATTGTTCAACGCCGAAATACGATTGTTTAGTGTTCTGAAATGGTGGCCAGAGTTTTCGCAGCAGGAAATTGGTATATATATGTTGCATGTGCAACGTATCTAAGATGTAAATAGGCCTTCAAAATAGCAGCAATAGTTTTTAACGAGGAAAATGAATAAATACATTTAAAATACCAGCAATTTATGGTACCTTAATTCCGTGTATGGTTCGATTCTCGTAGGTTTTTCCAATACTGAACACTTCTACAAGCGTTTCATTGAGTCGCTGTAGTCGCCTCATTTCGTGGACAATCTAGTGATGAACCAACGTAAAAGATTGCACTTTTTTTCTTTTAATCAAGGTATATATCAATAGCCCGGGAAAAAAACGCCGACATTCCGCGACACCACTACTGGTTTCCCACGAAATGTCTTCTGAAGAACGAGGGCAGAAATTCCATGCTGAAGACGCGTCACTGACTACCGGCCAGATCTGGGTAGTGTTTTTAATTGGTTGAAGCAGGTTTACTTGGCTCGCGGCGCGACAAATGAGAAGCACTAACCAGATCTGGGTAGTGTCACGTAATCAGTATCATGTGGAATTTCTGCAGTCGTTCCACAGAAGTCATTTCGCCTTGAAACCAGTGGTGGCGTCTCGAGATGTCCACGATTGTTTTCTTACCCCTAAATCACTTAACACTATCCCGTTTATTGTGATACGTTTTCTCGTACAGGAATAAGATGGTACTCCGATAACAATAGAGGGCTTTAGATCCGAGTTTACCTCGAACCTCTAACCGCTGGAGGTCACGTGACAAGTCGTTCTGGTCATGTTTGAAGTTTACGTGCATTTCCAACGTGGGGAGGTAGGTTTTCACGTATGTCATTTACCTGAAAGCTTTTAGCGTATAATTCTTGTTTCATCCCACTTAATGATACAAAAATCTTGTGGAGCAAGTCTTTATCCTTTAACAGAGGCACAACTTCGGGCGAAATGCTGAATTTTATAAATCCAAATGGACCTTGAAAACAAGTGCTATTCACGGCTGCTGATTCAAAATGGCGGCCGTAATTTAATCCACCGCCAATCTAAATCGAATTATATTTGAACGTCTAACCGCAAACGGGCAACAGCAAACCGCGGTTAGAGTTTCGCGGTAAACTCGGATCTAGAACTCTCTAATGCCTTTTCATCGTACTTTTCCACAAAATACCGCGTTGTTCAGACTCACCTGAGAATACGAACGGAAAGCTCCGTTGAATGGCACTCCCGAGCGCGCTCTCATTCGTTCTCCATTGATTAACCGTTGTAAGTTTCTTATTTTCACGCGGAAAGAAATCTCTCTCCTTGTGAGAAAGTGCTTAAATTCCCGCGCCCACCGATGCGTCACGTGAATGTCCACTGACTCACCAATTTTACTTGGGTAGGTCCAAAAATCAAGCTACAAAAAAGGACTGTAGATTAGCAAGCACCAAATTACCTTATGGATGGATTGAAGTTCGAGCAATCAAGACTATAAATGAACAGCAGGATTTGTATGTAAAGTAAATCAAGTAGAAAGAACTCGGTTATGGGGCCTAATGCATTGCATTGCGGTGCACGAGTAGAATTAAGCTAGAATGCATGTAATTTAACTGAATACTCTGAGCCAACATAGAAAGAATGGAAAGAGATCGTTACTCCCTGATAAAAAGGTGCCGATTTTAAGTTACCAAAGCAACTAAGTCGATTCAACACTGAGTAAGCGTGTTCTAATTGGGGTCAAAGCACATTTTGATAAACATAAATACCGTATTTATTCGATTAACCGCCCTGTGCGCTTATTAAATTTTTGGACCTTAAGAGTGGGCGCTTACTCGAGGCTGGGCGCTTATTAAATTTTCAGCATTTTCAGCAAGTGGAGTATGTTTATTTTGCAACAAAACAATAAATGGTGATGACAAATCTCGAAGATGTAACAAAGCAAGGTTCCTGTAAAATACTTTGAAGAAAACTCCGTCTTTGGGGAAGTCTCTTATCAGTACTTATTCAATTTGGGGGGGGGGGTGGGGTGGTCGCTTATTTGAGTTTAAGTGGGTGGGAGGGGAAGGGAGGTGGGGTGGGGTGGACGCTTATTCGAGACTGGGCGCTTATTCGAGGTGGGCGCTAATTCGAGGTTGGGCGCTTATTCGAATAAATGCGGTACTAGAAAGTAATTTTTATCAGTCTTTTCTCTTCTAATAGACAGAAAGACGCAGTAGTGTTCACAGAAGAAAGAATGGTGTGCTTTTGACCCAACAAAGGAACTGCTTTATTTTCTTAAAGATTGGGTTAGTAGGGTAATGGAACACAAAGCCTAACATTCCTCAAACAAACAAGTTGTACCGTACCTCAAAATCATTTTTATCAAACAGGTTATTAAGGTACTTCAGTGCTTCTTTCGTCCCAGGAATAACTTGTAAAACTTTGTCACTGTAAAAGATAATGAAGGAAAGCCGGAACGCATTAATAATTATTTTCTCAGCAGCTCTCAGCCTTATAGGTTGTGCCTAGAAAGTATTCCATGAGACTGAAACAGCCAAAGAGGAATCTCTCGCGTGATGCACCGAAAAGTAACGCGCGGATGGCTTATCGAGAGACTGGAAGAAGATTACACATGCAAGCGAGCCGCGAAGGAAAGGAAGATTGCACGCAGACATTTTTTGTGCGTTTTACATAAGGGCGTTACAGACAGTTTTTTTTTTTTTACAAAATAGAAAAGCAAGTTCAAAAAACAGCCTGTGACAGAAATAACCATACAATATGCCAATGTATCTGACGACGACAGAAAAAACAGTTCTGACTTCTTAGGTCATGAATTAAGGTGAATATGCTCAATCAAATAACGTAGAAAAATGAAGAGGACAAGCGTTAAAGAGAGAGAAAGCCAATAACCACATCATCAACTCTTTCATTGAAGTTCTCACTTTGAAAAGAAGTTCACAGCCAACTAAATCTTGCCGGATTGACGAGTCTTTTTGCTCGCAACCATTTCAAAATCGGAAATTATACGAAATCCTGCCGGTTTTGCCTTTGTAAAAAGTGATGAACTTCCTAACTTAATATTTTCTACATTTCTTTGTCCCCTGGCACTGCTTCTTAGAAATAATTAATTCTCTTTGACGTCCGCTTCGAAGCTAGCCTGCGTGGCAGGCGTTCGAAAGGGAAAGGGAAGTTGTGAGCGTGGGAAAATAAAATTAAAAACGAAAACGCAGTGGCCGCGCAAGCAAAGCGAAAGGTAACAATGTATAAAAATTAAAAAAACAACTGCCTTCTCTCTCCACATGCAGATCATGAATTCTTTACTAACTTTCTCGCGTTAGTATTCTCTTTCCTTCTCGACCACGGATAGACGAAAGAAAATCGCAAAAGCAAGGGAACTGTTTCAAAGTTAACAATAAAAATTTGCGCAGTTGAAAACTAAATCTTGCTGGAAAAATTATTTTTCTTGATGACCATGTGTTTTCAACTAAACTTTTTTGTGAAACTCATTTATTAGTGCTTCGAATTCAAGATGCTTCTTCTCTAAATTCAAAAGATTTTGACACCCGGAATCAACCCTAAAGACATGTTGATTACCATTTTAAGGTGACCATTTCGACAGTACTTTCGCATATGACTGATTTATTTCTTTCTACATTGAATATGGTAGAAAATGACCGTCATCTTATTTTGACACTTATTTCTCCTCAAAGTTTACCCGATTCGGCTATTAACACCCTGATTAACACTTTGGAAGACTGGTAAAAATGTTGAATGACCTGACAAGCAGGAAACATTCATGGGCAAGAAAATCTGATCAATATTTCAAGTAATATTGGCGCTAACCGGCGAGAACACAGCTAAAAGGTTTCCTCATGCGTCCCTTTTTACGGATCCTGGACAAAAACAACGCTCGCTGTAAGGGAAATCCCGATTAAGGAGTCCGGGAGGTTTTTGGTTGTGGAATCCGTAATGTGCAAACGCGCGAACGACACAGTTTTTGGGTAGTTCATGTGTCAGTGTACGCGCTGCAGCATGGGTTGCTATATATACCCCCGGGGTTTCTTTCTCCTCCAACTACAATTATAGCCTCGGTATCCCAGGGGTATAAGATCTTCCCCTGGGGGTTTTGGGAGCGTAGATTTTAATGAGAGGACTTTCATTTCTCTTCTCTCGTCCACTTTTCCACAGAGAAACGCCTGACACTCAGGATACCTTCAACAAACTCTGAACCACGAACGGAAGAGGTAGCGTTTGATCGGAAACGCCTTTACAGACAGGAGGTACGCCGGTATCAGTTTTGAATTCATCGTACTGACCTCTGGTCAAGCGATAGACGCACGTACGCAGGTGACAAGAAAGATAAACATGATAAAGAAAGTGAGTTGAGGGTTAATTTAACGTCGACAGTACGTAAAACACGTCGCGGAATTGACTATCATGATCAAGCTTCGGTATTCCCTGGCCTAGCTGCTTTCAAACTTAACCCGGTCGTCGGCCTATCACGAATTTATCAAATCGACCCTCAAGATTAAAAAGGGGATATCTGTGCTTGTTAATGTTAACAAACATAAATATTTACCAAAAGAGTGGACGAGATTGTATAACGAGAACGATCGAGAACGGCGATTGCAAGCAAGGACGATTTAATACGCAAATCAAAAGATTTATATTATCAGTTTTCCGCGTACGTCGCTAATTCTAGATCGAAACTAGTACTGATCAGACTCACCCGCTGAATGTTTTTCTTCCCTCAGCATTTGTCTGTCCGAACAACAGGAAGGTAAAAAAGATCAGAATTCGGCAGAAAATAGCGAATTGTTTTGTCCGCAACATCCCACTGCAAACTAAACCAGTGTCGATGAAAACTGAAATACGCATTCACGGACTCAAGTGTCTTTGAATTGCCGGCAGTAACGTGATATACAGTGAATGACATTTTAGCACTGTAATTAAGAGAGGTCACGTTTTTAGTCAGCAGGTTTGCGTGACAAACTTGTGGCCTGTCCAAAAGCGATCACGAAAAACAATTAAAAAAAATAAATAAATAAAAATTTGTATAAGTGGCTTTTGACTGATTGTTTCTTTGTTTGTGTTTTTCCTCACTTGTTTTCGTTCGTTCGAAGGGTACTCTCATCTCGGGATCCGGGATTTGACTCGAAAAGTAGCGGCGGAAATCGGGGATACGCAAACTTTGTTGACGGGATACGGGATTTGAACGCCCACTCGCAAGCGGGATGAACCAAAATCTTGGCCCGGGATGCAGTATTGCCGGAAAGCAAAAATGTATACCAGAGAACGGTGACGGACCTTCGGGATGCGGGATTGTCAATGGTTACAAAAATATAAGGCTTTCAGTTTTCATTACCAATTAACTGCACTGAAGCACACGTACAGACTCCGCGGTATGGCTTTCGGACATGCACACAGCCATATCACCCGGGCAGTGGCAACCATACTGCAGATTAAGTGCAGTTAAGCCCTGGCTGGATCCTAGCCACTAGCCAGTTACAGCCCGTTTCAATCTAAAAACTGTTCTGTTATCCCTTCCCGGCCCGATTCTCCACCTCGCTCCCCCTTGGTGTGTGTGTGTGTGTTTAGGGGAAGGGGGTGGGGGGGCACTTAAGGAAAACTTGGTAGAGCTGTGCAGCCGAAGCTTACAAACCCTGATCATGACAAAAATCGTTCATTTTGCTCCGGGGGGGGTGGGACTTTGCATATGAAAGGGGTGGGAATGCTCCTGGAAATTGAGACCCATCTGGGCGTGGCCCAAGCTTTTGCTGACCCCTAAAAGAGTCCATAATGTATAATATTTTTATATTTTTTCATGTGCAACCCTAAACAAGACCTTCATGGCTAAATATGATGGCGTTTTGCCCAGAACACCCTAAGTGAGACCAAAATCCGAAATTTACACCTCTGCTAAGCGAGACGACGAGCATCCCCACCCCTTTCATATGCGGAGTCCAACCCCCGGGATTTTGCTACCCGGTTAAAAGACAAGAGACCTTATCTCTAGCCTCTGATTCATTTTGCTTCGCAAACAGAATTGTTCGTTAGCATCATACAAGAGCCATAATGGGATTATGGCTCTTTTGCATCATAGGAGATGATTTTATATATATATATATATCATAAATGTAGGCCGCTCATTGCTAACCTGCGATCAAGCGGTCCTTCTTCCTCCCTTCTTGACGCCAAACTACTCGTCTGTTCTCCTTCCCGTGTGGACAGTTATTGTCCGTTCTATCCCCGTTATAAAAACAGATAAAAGGGAAAAAAAGGAAAAAGAAAAACTCCTTCCATAACAAGAAATGATCGGACGGAAGACTGGGTTAAAAAGTCCGAAAACTCCTCGGTATGGCCATTACATTAGGCATGCGCACAACCATATCACCCGGGCAGTAGCAGCCATACTGCGCAATCTCCTTCCCAGAGGCCGCGATCCTTTTGGTCAGTGACAAGGGACCCCTGGGGACGAGGTTGCCATACTGCGGTGTTGGTACGTGAGCTTCAGTGCAGTTAGTTGGTTTTATTTTCATTTCGTGTTTCAAAAATACCCTGGCTGGATAGTAGCCACTAGCCAGTTATAGCCCGTTTCAATCCAAAAACTATTCCGTTATCCCTTCCCGATCGGATTCTCCACCTCACCTCCCCGTGCTGTGTGTGTGTTTAGGGGGAGGGTGTTGGGGGGGCACTTAAGGAAAACTTGGTAGAGCTATGCAACCGAAGCCTCCAAACCCTGACCATGACAAAAATCGTTCATTTTGTTACCCAGTTAAAAGACAAGAGACCTTATCTCTAGCCTCTCATTAATTTTGCTTCGCATACAAAATTGTTCGTTTGCATCATAGGATATGATTTTTTTAATTTGTTTTTCTTTGAAAAAATGTTGCTATCATAAATGTAGCCTACGTGGCAGACGTTTGAAAGGGAAGGGAAAGGGAGTTTTAGGTGCGACATTTTTTAAGGGAAAAGCCCTTGGGACGAGGTTGGCCCAAAACCCCATTTTCCCTACCTGCCACGCAGGCTATCATAAATGGAGACCGCTCATTGCTAATCTGCGATCAGGCGGTCCTTCTTCCTTCCTTCTTGACGCCAAACCTTCTCCTTCCCGTGTGGACAGTTATTGTCCGCTATATCGCCATTATAAAAGACAGATAAAAGAAAAAAAAGGATAAAGGAAAACGCCTTCCATTTTTGAGCCCGTTGATCGGACGGAAGACTGGGTTAAAAAGTCTTTTGGACCGTGAGAACGTGGGTTGAGAATAACTCCAAGATGGCGGACGAGTTGCACGGTCGCACGTCCAGAAACACGAGGCATATTTTTGTCGTTTTGTGATGGACGGGTAATCCGTAAAGGATGCTTACACCAGTATTTGAATTGAGCCAGGATGATGATTTTGTGGTAGTGATAATTAAGACTCCATATGTCAAGGTATCGTTCAAATTTTGTGTAAAGGTGGTCTCATGCATCGGTGTTAAAACGTCGGGTCCTGTTTTTATTCAACATTTTCATTATAAGAATTTTTTGTATACTCTTGCTTTATTCTTTCATTTATCTTCAGATTTCTGATGTTGATTTCTGCATTAATGGCACAGAATTCAAGTTTTACGTGAAGCCCTATTTTTTAAGGTGAGCTAGAGACACCTTCTATATCAAATTGGAATTTTGGAAGGAGTGCTGTTTTTTGAGGTACACGGAGATAAAGTCTCTCCAAGCAGAGATAAGTAGCTAGCAGCTAACAACGAGCTTAGCCTGCATATGGCATCGGCTTCGAGACTTCAACCCAGGCAATCGGGAGGGAATCTCTTTCCCAGAGTCTTCTGGCTTTTTCTTCAGTGATCCCTGTAGTTACCTTGCTGACCGAAAAGCTAGAAGACTCTGGCTACGAGACTGGGCAGGCGATGATTGTTCCCACCACTTCACCAGCCCTCCTCACCTCTCCAGGAACAGCAGAGCAGGTGGGGAAGGAGACAGGGGAGCCCCTATCCCCCCCGCCCCCCACCCCTTTTCACAATGTTTTAAATTTAATGCATGGTCAGGAAAAAATTAGGAAAAATTTGTTTCATTTCCAAGACTGAATTTGCCAGGAGAACTAACTGAAGATGGTAGAGAGTCCGCCACATATGATGTTGATAAAGGTGAGAACTGCTTTGTTAGCAGCTAATAAATTTTTTATTTTCTTTTGGAATTTTTTCCAACTTTGCATGGTCTTATTATTATTTTGGGTCACATGACATTGAACAATGAAACTGTTTTCTGCCAAATGTCTCTGGGGGGGAAACATTGCTTAATCTATTCAATCAGATGTGTTCTGACTGCGCCTCCAAGAAGGGAGTCCCTGTGGTTTGATTCTTGTTAGCGACTGCTAAGTCTTTGCATTTTGTGTGCTTGCTTAAGGGAAGTTTGACCGTACTAACTACTGTCTTGTAAAAGAAATTGTCTATACTGTAAAGACTTCCTGATTTAGATATTTTTGTGTATTTTGCCATTGATGGAAATATGAAATACATGTAAAAACAGAATTTACTGGCTATCTACTGTAAGTGTAAGTAATCATTTCTTTTACATTAATTTTTATTGTTTTGTAGGAACATTTTCAGTTAAGCTTCCTAAACTTAATTCAGGAGAATTCTTTGAGGGTCTGGACCTGCTAACTACTCTGCTGGCTCCCAAGAAAAAATCCCCTGTTACAGTCAAGCCAGTTATAAGTGAACTCACTGGTAAGCTCGTTTACTTTATGTTCTAGACTGGGACGGAGTGGATCCCAACAATCAATCTGTTTCACCTTAGGGTTTCATTAGTCTGCATCACAGATGTAATCAAACCCCTGCAAGTGGTATCTGCAAAGAAGAAACATTCTTGTTATGGGTCCTTAACCCTTTAGGTCCCAAGAGTGTCCAACATCAATTTTCTCCTAACAACATCAGCAGATCAACAAGAGTAAAGGTTATGAGAATTACTACATTGATGACCAAAGGGAGAATACTTTGATCTTAAACCAAATTCTCTCAACTATTCTTAAAAGAAATGTATGGAGATCGGTCTGAAGAATTTGTATTTGGATCTTGGCGCTTAAAGGGTTAATAAACTCGACAAATTACCTATCACAGGGCTTTCAACCCCCTACCTCTTCAAATATTGAGAATTGATGGGGAAGGGATGATAGATGACATCATAATGCATAGCACATGATGTCATTTGTGAAAAAAAAAAAAAAATTGAGCAAAAAAGATGTTGTTAGAATTGTAACATTTGACCTAACTGGTTTACTTCCCACCAATCACATTATTGCTTACATGTATATTACAACGGCATACCGGAGTTTGTGAGGAAACATTCAATGTTAACAGTAAAATAGATCAAATAAGGCAAAATATGTCAAATTTCATTGTCAGAAAGTCGATAGAGTCTACAAGAAATTGCAAACTTCGGCGATTATCCGGGAGATTTCAGACTCTAATCTGGAGACCGGGAGAAATGGTTCAAAATCTGGAGTCTGCCGGATTATCCGGGAGAGTTGACAGCCCTGCTATCACACAGATTGACAATGTATTTTTTTTTAAAACAAGCTAACCATTGTGCTTACTTTAATCCTGCTACACGGCTGGAGGCCTTGAACAAGAAAAATTTAATGAACCTTTGGTGTTGTAGAATTGTTGATACATGTATGATCTTTACCCCCACTCCTGTGCATGTTAAGTAAAAGGAAAGAAAAACATCGTATCCCCATTCATTCAACCATGGCAGGATTAGCTTAGTTGGTAGAGGACTTGAGAGTGGGATATTGTAGGTCCATTCCCAGGGCTAATCATTGCTGTTGATTTGTCTTTGTTTTAAGGTGATTCCAAATGTAATGAAAATAGTCTGAGTACTAATGATGGTGATGATAATGCTGATTATGGTGATGACAACAACTTTGATTGGGAATTTGACCAGCAGTTGCCACATTCAACTCAGGTAAAAAGCAATTGTCTTGTTTGCACTAAGAACCAACACAATTTTAAGAAGAGTGACTGGGAATAATCTTAATCAGGGTTGTCAAAATGCACCAGCAACCGGCGCCATCACCAGCTACGTTTTTGTAAGCCATATCCCTAGTAGTATGTGTTCCCGTAGTGATATGTGTTTCCCTACCTGGGAAACACATATCCCTAGTGATATGTGTTCCCCCACACAGGAAACACATATCCCTAGTAATATGTGTTCTCCCACCTGGGAAACACGTATCTCTAGTGATATGTGTTCCCCCGCCTGGGAAACACATATCCCTAGTGATATGTGTTCCCCCACCTGGGAAACACATATCCCTAGTGATATGTGTTCCCCCACCTGGGAAACACATATCCCTAGTAATATGTGTTCCCCTACCTGGGAAACACCTGTCCCTAGTGATATGTGTTCTCCCACGTGAGATGTGTTCCCCTACCTGGGAAACACGTATCCCTAGTGATATGTGTTCCCCCAACTGGGAAACACATATCCCTAGTGATATGTGTTCCCCTACCCAGGAAACACGTATCCCTAGTGATATTTGTTGCCCCACCTGGGAAACACGTATCCCTAGTGATATGTGTTCACCCACCTAGTGAACACATATCCCTAGTGATATGTGTTCCCCTACCCAGGAAACACATATTCCTATAGCCTCCCCGCAGACGTCCATTGGGGTTCGTTTGTCACGCATTCATCTCTCCCCCACGGACGTCTGCTAAACACAGCCGACATTTACGTTCTGGATTGTTTGAATAAGCCAATAAGCGGTTAGTTATTGTGTCACGATCAGCCAATCACGCGCTGTGATATAAGTGAAACGGCACCTACAAATTATTTCTCGCTTTTTTAGAGGAATATTTATTATATGCCCATGCATGGATTAGACTCCGAAGAAAGTTATAAGAAGCGAATTTTTTTGTTTTCTTTGCAGCTGTAATTTAGGAAAGGACCAAAAAAAGCGCAGTCGACATCGCAAGGCTCATCAAACGTGCTCTGGACGTTAATGTGTCTCACGTGAATTATTTATTTGCACCGCTATCTTCTACCTGAGACGACTCAAACATTTTGAAAAATTCACAGAAATGATGCAATAAAGCTGCAGTCAGCTGTATAGTTTTTTCGGAAGTTTTGACTATAAAATAATCTGCTTTTCTTTGAAAGACTTCAGACAACAGTCTCCCACACGAGCGCGGTCGAAAATAACAATTACTATTAACTCTGTATATATTCGAAGTATTAAGAAAAGAGAACTTGTAAACGTGTATAGGGAAGATATTCAAATTATTCTTCGAAAACAAAGGCCGTTTCCTTTTTTGCGAAATGTAATTCCACCAAGGTCATGGGTCGCAGACCAAGGACCAGTACGCGAAATTTGGTTATATTTTTTCAAGAGTCTACAGCAATGTCCGTCCAACGGCAGAAAAAGGTTTATCTGGAAACTTGTTCTGCAAAAAGGCACGTCTTCCCGTTGCGTTTTATTTATTTACAAGCTAAGTAAACATGACCACGGTGCCGCTGACGTCCAAACTTCAAGCTAGAACGACAAATTAACCTACCTGTCAACAAACTTTAATCTCGCTCCTTCAAAGAAAGAGAGAATGCTCATAATCAATAAATCATTGAATCTTTCATTGTTCATTGTATTTTATTTCTCGACGAAATATTTAGTCATGCCCGGGAAAGTCGCTGACCAAGGACCACATACTAACTGTACAAGTCACTCGCTAACTTTTCCTCCACAGATCGATCTTCAACCAAGCTTAGCTAAGCTTCTGGGCTTCCGTAAACAACAGAGAAAGTCCCTCTCTCGACAACCCTCATATTCTCTTTGCTAATATCACTGAGCGTTACAGCAGGAATACCAATATTTTCCAGCTTTGTAGATTGATCTTTCAAGATTTACCAGGGGAGAAACAACAACAATGTCCAGTAGTTCCACGCACTGTGTCGCAAACAAGCAGCAAAGCTTGATATGTAAGGAATTTGCCAAATCCCGTCGGCAAATTTATGAACTCGTCGGTCTTCCCTATAAAATTTGCAGGATAGCTTCTCTCTGATACTTGTTTAACTCTGTATTAATTAGAAATTTCTCGCACACTCGATCAAAAGCCTCACTGATCGTGCGAATCGTAAGAAGCGGCTCGGGTTACGTTTTACAATAATCCGTAAACGGGCTGTGATTGGTGAACGTAAATGTCGGCTGTGTTTAGCAGACGTCCGTGGGGGAGAAATGAATGCGTGACAAACGGACCCCAAAGGACGTCTGCGGGGAGGCTAATATTCCTAGTGATATGTGTTCTTCCGCCGGGAAAACACGTATCCCTAGTGATATGTGTTTCCTCGCATGGGAAACACATATTACTAGTGATATGTTTTTGCCTACCTGGGAAACACGTATTCCTAGTGATATGTGTTCCCCTACCCAGGAAACACGTATTTCTAGTGATATGTGTTCCCCTACCCATGAAACACTTATCCCTTGTGATATGTGTTCCCCTAACCAGGAAACACGTATTTCTAGTGATATGTGTTCCCTTACCTGGGAAACACGTATTCGTAGTGATATGTGTTCCCTCACCAGGGAAACAGGTATCCCTACTTATATAGTGGGAAAATAGTATTAGTTAATACCTAATTCTTACAGGCTTAGTCACGCATTTTTTCCTCAGACGTTCTTGTGGAAGGAGTGCGTGACAAAGCCTCGACAAAGTGTGTCTGGAATTCTAGGGCTTCCTGTATTCAGTCAGATTGGAAAATTTATTCGGATGATTGGACTGATTTTACTTAACCCGTGAAAGAGAAGGTAGACTGCTACGCACTATTATACACTAATTCCTTTTTATTCTCCTATCCTCTTGTAGCTTTTAGGATTATTATTTGTTAGTCTTTGTTTCACAGTTTAAGTAAAATCATTCTATGATGAAGACTTTAAAGGCCATTCTTTTAACTGAATATGATAATTGATTTTTTAGGAGGCCGGGGGACTTAAGTTGTACGAAACAAAATATGGATTTGCGAACCAAAAGAGTGGAGTCTTTATAGGGCGTGAGGTAAGTTCTTGGGGCCTTTAATTACTCTGTAGTTATAAACAGTCAAGTCCTTTGGCTAGGATGAAACTGCTAACATTTGGGATTGCCTTTATCAGTAAAGCCAACAAACTTGCTGCGACGTCCATTAATGAAACGCATTTAAACTCGCTCCGTGCTTCGCTCACCCAAGAAAAAGCGCCCCTTCTGTAGGCTATGTCACGTGCAAATAATAGATTTCTGTTTAGTTTAATGCGCTCTTAATTATCTTACTTTCGTTTATTAGCCAATCAGCGTTACTTTGGTTCAAGTTAAGTATTGCAGAAAGTTTAAGCTAACCAAGGTAGATTCTGGCGAATTCCTATGCATTCTTCAGTTTGCTGCTATTTCAAGGTCACTATTATACGCTATGATACGCTGTCTATTATACGCTATCTACTCTTCTTCAACAGGCAGAACTTCATGAAATAGCTGAAATAACTGCTCCTGACTCTATGACTTTGACTGATAGAGGAGATGCAAGAAGGTTAGCCGAGGACTGTAAATTTGACGAGGAATATTATTTGTAAGAAAGTGAATTTTTTTATATTGTATTTTATTATATTTTTGCTTTTTGACGCTTCTTATTTTATTATTTTTCGGCGAGAAGAGAAGCCAATATACTTTAACTCGTAACGCTATTTGAGCGAACTATTGCCCACGTTCGTGAACGAAAGAAACCGTTTACGAACCACGTTTGTGGCTCACGTCGCCTAATGTAACAAAATCAGGGAATTTTTCTACTTGTGGATACCGGAATCCAGGAAGTTTACGCTTGTGGAAGCTGGATTTTGCGCTTTGGAATCCGGAGTCCCAGTAACGGTTGGAATCGGGAATCCAAGTTCCACTGACAAAGAATCCAGAAAATTCCAATTCAAAGGAATCCGAAATCCACGGCGTGGAATCCAGAATCCAAGACTGCCTTGGATTCCCTTACCTGGGGCGACTCACGGTGAACGTTAATTTGTTCAACGATCCGTGTTTTCACTTTACTTGTCGTTTTATAGTACAGGGCTTCCCCCCCCCCCCCCAAAAAAGATATTGTTATCATTTTAGTATATAAGTAACTAAATCGGAAAAATCATTCAGACGCGACTAGGTCAGTGCACACACTGTAACATTGTGTCTCAAAATGCACCAGATAGCATCTTAGCGCATATTCATTTCAAAACATTTGTGGGGGGGACCCCCCTAGGGAACTCATGGCCTTTGCCCACTTGGGACTTCTCCCCCAAACGATAAATCCTAGATTACACTCTGAGTACCCGTTATGTAGGTTATGTCTCTACAAAAATTAGCCTTTTCATGCCAGGTTAACCCGTAAGAATTAGTTTGGGCAGTTTCAGACAGTATTTGTGCATTTACTAATCTGAAAAATTATAACTTTAAATCTGGCATTTAATTCTGCCCTGATTGGTGAACATGATAGTGTAAACCTCTCTCATTTAATGCTGAAAAGGTCCTTAATTTTTCAGGGCAGACTACTTCAATGAAGATCAAATCCGGCATCTACTGGATTACAAGCCTCCATGGGATATCGAGTGCCTGAAAAACAAAGAAAGCATTTCCCAGGTGAGGAAAGAAATACCACGAGTGCGATCCAAAAGTTCAGCCTTAAATTAAATACATTTTATTTTATTTTGTTTTCTTGCCTCAGTCTTTTCTCCGCTTTACAAATCAACTTGTTTTAAATAAATAAATAAATAAATAAATAATGATTTGGAGGTAGCACATCCACAAAGTGGTTCTGTGTCTACCTGATTCCTGCTTGAATTGGAATTTGGAATGTTGGCTTTTAAGGAGAGGGGAAAACCGGAGTACCCGGAGAAAAACCTCTCGGAGCCAAGGAGAGAACCAACAACAAACTCAACCCACACATGGCGTCGACGGCGGGATTTGAACCACTGCGCCATCCCTTGCTCCCCAAGGGATTTTTTAACACTTCCTCTCCCAGAGTAAATGGGGAAGCCTTTTAAGGTGGCTCTAACTTCTATAGACTACTTTCCATTTGTCAAAACTGACCACCCAGACCCTTCCAGTCGTAACAAGAATTTCACTTTTAATCAAAACTATCCAGCCAGATCAGTCAAATCCTGAATGGTATGCACGAAAAAGATTGTTTTTTTTTTCAGCAAAAACTCTTAGAAAAAGCCGATTTCATTTTCAAACTGACTGGTCCGGCAGTGGTCCGGCCGGCCAGTTCTGACAAATGGAAAGCGCCCTTAGATCCGTCGACGAGTTCTTAGACGACAGTGAGCGCTTAGGGAGACAAAAAATAAAGAGGCTGCTTGCTGTAGACGAAATCCTATACTGCAACAAGGTAACTGAATCGGGTTAACGTCCGCAAAAACTTCTGAGACTAATACTAGGAACAAAGGAAAACAAAATTGACCAATAGCTGACCTTCGCATCCCTTATAACAATCCCACAAAACAACTGCGGGGCACGCTTCGTCTCCAGTCCCCCTCGCGCCTCTAAATTGGCAAATGGTCTGAGAGAAGTGGTAAGAACAAAAACAACAACAACAAAAACAAGCAAATGTAAGCAAACACAGATAATGATCTGAGGAAAAACTGAGGTCCCTTGTTTGATTTTACTTCTCAAATGATCAATAATTCTTGACAAGAGATGTAAAGCAAAGGTTCGCAAAATTTCAAGTTAATCTGGGTACGTATCTGTAGGATTTCTGTTATTTTATTTCCATGAATTATTGTTTAGAGCACTTGAATAGTTCGCAAGTTACTTCATTTTCTTTATTGCAGTGCAAAACGAATCGCGGGAGTGAGGAAGCTGAAGGTACAACGCGTTTCATGAATGGAATTTACGATTGCTGGCTAAATGCAAACATCTTGTTTTACTCACAATCTTTTTCATGTTTAGTTCAATTTACAGACGAAGAAAAAGACCAATTGAGAAGACTTCCTAACAAAGATTATATCCTTTAGCGGAGTAGCACTACATGATTACCGCGTGTTGACTTGATTAAACGCCGCAGATGGAATCAAAATTACCAACAAACGCGGCCTTCGAATAAACGCCGCACCCCTCTTAGTCTGCTACACAGCCGTTTTTAGTGTCGTCACGCAACACACAGCGTGACGACACTAAAAACGGCCGTGTAGCGGACTACACCCTTCTCAAAGGATGTGGTGTTTATTCTTGCCTGCGTAGCAGGCGCCGGTTATCATAAAGTTTATTCGAGGATAAAAGAAAAAACTCGGTAAAACTTTGCAATCTTCAGCATCCAGAGAATTACGATTCAGTCTTATTAAAAAAGGCAAAATTGGAACTTTTTTTTAACATAAAAAGCGTAATTGGTGTTAGTGATTTTAGAAATGCGGTTTTGAAATAAGCACCTCCCTTGAAAAAGACTTCGCATATTCGATGCTAAAAATTTATAAACGCCGCGGCGTTTAATCGAATTAATACGTCAACTCAGAAAAATATAATCATACATCTGACAGCATACTCTTGCATGAAGCTTAATAGGATCAAATGTTGAAAAACGTGAATCACTTTTGAAAGCTAATATGGCTCCACAACGTTTAGCGCGCGATGGATCTTTGTTACAAGCTACAACGATAAGATGAGCGCTAGAGAAATAAAAAACTACGGGGTAATTGATAAAATACAAAGTTCAATTACCTTAACCATGCTAAAACCTCCTGGATGACAAAGAAGAGCTGCCGATATTCCTTGGACTTATAGACATTATTTATGCTTATGCGTACAATCATCGCACCACGGAAGGCGAAAACACGGTTAGTAAAAAAGGTTTTGTGTTACATATTGCATGTTGAAAAGGTCAAACGATTACTCTGAATCTACCGATCATTTGTCTTATTGGGAAATCTGCTCAGTGAAAGAATGA